CCGCGGGTGCAGGGCAACGTGGAGGAAGGTGTCGCGGTCGGCGGTAAGCATCGAGAGACAGACGCGGCGGAAGAGGCGGGCGAGCCTCAGCTGCTTCAGGTCGTGGCCCTCGAGCCGCACAAGGATGTTGTCAAAGAGCTCGGTGGGCAGCGCCGCGAGCTGCGCTCCGACTCCGTCGTGTCCGTCAGCCATGGGCAACAAAAAGCCATTGGTGAGGGTTGTGGGAAAAGTAGTTAGGGGGACGAGGTAGAGAGTGGCCGGAACAGCCCGACACGATGCCCGAGGGATTTAGCACAAGACAGGTGAGATCAATATGAAGAGAAAGTGACCGGAAAGGCAAAGACGGTTGCTGGTGCGTATAAAGTGCCCTCTAGAGCGGGGCAATTGATGCAGTACTCCATCAGTCATTGGTTGGTGAACCTTGGCCATGGTCACAGAGACGACGACGAGAGTCAGCAAACAGTCATCTAGATTGTTTGCTTGTGTCAAGAAGGTCTCGTCTCTTTGTACACAACATTCCCGTCTTGTCTCGTTGAACCAAGTGTGTCCACGCAGGATTACCTTTAGTCGTATCAACCTGATATCGTCTCTCCTCCCCTTCTGTCGGCAGCCTCCTCGCCCCAACTTTCACAAGCTGGATTGATACATACACGAAACACCACGGGCATCATGGCTGTCAGTCTCCCTCTCCCGCACAGCCTCACCTCGCCAGACATGTGCACACACTGCACTGGCCCGGGCTGCCGACCCGACCAGAAGGCCCTCTACGGGTGGCGGCGTGTGTTCCTGACGTACAGCTGCAGGCACTTGCACAAGCTGGGTCATGCTCTGGATCTCTATTTCTGGATCCCACTGGGCGTTGACCACGCCGACTTCGTCTGGAGGCTCAAGGCTCTCCGCCCGGAACTCGATCGCGCGCTCTCCACCATGTCGCATCTTGACACCGTCGACATACCGCAGGTTGTCTCCCCTCACCACCTCTCCGCCCTGCGGCAAGACCGCAACAACTTCACTATCGTCAGCAACCGACCCGGTCTCGCCAGACACGTGCAGGTCTTGGACTGGATAGTCTACCCAGACAACATCGGCAGTTTCGTCCGCTGGGTCGCCAACGATTCAGACGACGAGCAGCCGTTCCACATCATGGCTCAGCAATTTTCCTGCCAACTGCTGGATCAGCCTGCATGGCAGCCACCAGAGAAAGATTGCGCAACTCGACGCCTTTCGGCAAGATCTCAACGCGGCGCTCGTGGCGATGCCCAAGCTCTCCACACTAGTGTCGCAGGTCGTCGATGCCGCACGTCTCTCTCTCTTTCCCCAAATCCAGGAGCGTGTCGGGGCGAATCAGAGTAAATCGCATGGCACCGGCACATTCGACCACGGGTTGGACGGTCTCGGCCTAGGATACGAGTTCGTCAAGCACACCATGGCCATGAACTGTGCCGGTCGACCTCCACACCAAGCGCTGGCGCATGTCACTCTCCATGGTTACTTCAGCCCGAGAATCAGACCGACCACCACGTTCTTTCGCCCATCCCTGTTCGAAACGTTTTCAACCCTGACACAGGTTCGCATCAGTCTCACCGACTGCATCCTCGGCAACGCCACACTAGTTCTTTCTTGTTTGCAGGCTGCGCGAAGGCTTCAATTCCTGGCGGTCATCGGTTGGAGCGCGTCAGAATCTTTGGGGGTAAGAGAGTGGAAGCGTGAGCAGCAAGTGGCTTTCCTCAAAAGGCGGCTCGATTGCCACCATGGAACCTCCTGGCCCCTCCTCGAGGCTCTCAATCTAGCCAAGGTCTCTTTTCCGGTTGACACCATCCTGCATTTCATCGGGCTACACTCCACTACCCTGCGGCGCGTCAGGCTCAGACTGGATCCTCCGGTTGTCACCGTCGCGCATATGACGGCGATGGCCCAAATAGACGGCCTGCAGCTGGTCGCCCTACGCGTGGAGACACCCCATCCCGAAGTCGCGCTGGGCTGTACGGAAGCGAGGCTCTATGTCAACAGCAAGCCCGGCAAGCACTGGCGGCGGAAGCCGAAGCTGGTCAGGATGCTAGTGTCCAGCAGACAGAGTGCACTCGTCGGCGTAAGAGATCCAAAGCCCCTCTGGCTTAGCAATTCCGACGGCCTCAAAGTCATCGATGCAAAGGCCTATGTCACTCCGTTCCGATAGTCGCCACGCCGTTAAGAGACACGCTGGAAATGGGGTCGCACTCGACCTGGGGGCGATGTCCACTTCTGGGGAACTCCGGGCCACGACGGGGAGCACACGACAACGTGGTTCTTCACACGCGCGGGTGGGAGTGATCCAGGCCGATACGGTGATGATCCATACGCGTGGTGGCTGGACTGGGACGAAGGAAAGGGCGACATGGCATTTCCCACCCCTGTTGGCCACATGTTCAGAGTGTTCGTGGAGGATGAAGCCGAGGACCTTGGCCATGCACTTGTGGACGGCAAGGTCTCTCTGCCACGTCATACACACCTCTTCCCGAGGGACTTGCTAGATCCAATGGTACAAGATAGGGTCTGGCCATCGCACCCAGAGTCTGGCGTACTCTGAACAGGGTACATTTACGAAGCTGGAATAGTAACAGGACCGGGTTCAGAGCCGTCATCGTTGTATATGAGGCGGGGCAGCAGCACGTTCGTCCGCGGCCTATGAGGTGTCATGAGCATGGAGATTTTGGCGGAGGCGATGAGCCTCAGAACGCCTGCAGTATGTTTGTATGTAGAACTGGGAACTGTGCCGCCTCACAAATCCGGCCAATTCAGCAAGTTTGTGTCTTTGACGGATCTTTCGAGAGGCTCGAATGGTCTGCCATCACCATGGCAACAACCATGGCGTAGGGCGCTCCTTTCCATTCATCGATGTCTGCCCCGCCCTCGTCGCCATCGCCTCCATCGCCATTTTTCGCCAGTTAGTGAACGCTACGAAGCCACACGGCGAGGCTTGCTCTTCAACCACGACGATGACGCAATTGCGACGATCACGTCGACTCGCAAGAGCGCAGGCCGGCAGCACCACACCAGCTGCCACCCTGCAGGCTCCTGCTGCTGCCGCAGTTGCCACACTCGACTGCCTCACGGCAGAGATCTTCGACATGGTTGTCTGCACCCTGGATACTGACGACCTACGAGCCCTGCGGCTCGCCAACACCCGTCACGATGCTGTAATTTGCCGATACCTGTTCCGTCGTGTGCGCCTCTCGATGCTCAATTCCGACCGCGAGGCATTCTTGACCATCGCAAACCACAGGCCCGACCTGGCGCAACACGTGCGGGCTCTTGTCTGGGTCAACTTCCCTTTCTGCGTTTCGTCCTCACTGGCCTCGGTGGGCTCAAGTTCACACGAGAGACGGTGGAGCCAGTACCAGGCGCTGGTACGAGAAATTTCCAGCGCCTGCTGGATAGGCGTCAGCGCCAGCCATGGCGAGATCGTGACGCTGCTCAGAACATTCCGGGCAAGTCTCGATGCGGCCCTTGAAGCAATGCCGCGCCTCCAAACCTTTCACACAAAGCCCGCTGAGCCGCCGCATGCAACACGATTCCCAATGATCCACGAGGCGATCTCGAAACACTCCGTACCCACGCGGCATGCCCCCGAATGGCTGATCACCCGCGACTTCTTCCACGAGGTCATGGACACACAGATGGCCAGGCGCCAGCCAACGACAAAGTTCTCGATCTTGGTCCTTTCTGTACAGTCAAGTCACGGTATGGCCATCTACGGCGCGCCAGAGCCCGAGCACTTTCAGCATCTGATCACGGTACACCTGAAGCTCGATCAATTGCTGATGGACAACATTTCACCCCTGCTTGACGCCTTGCTCGGTAGTGCGCAGCTGCAAGGGCTCGCCATACAGGTCCGACACACTCGCACGGACTACATCCTGTCGGACTCGGAGCTTCAGCTCGGTGTCCGATTCCTGCAATGCTTCGCTGATCGGGCCGCCGGCTGGCCCAGACTCCGGGACCTCGACATCAGTGGCCTGCCTGTCCCTGTCAGCGCGCTCGCGCATTTTATCGGCCTGCACTCAGAATCACTCCAGCGCCTCTGCCTCGGCCACGGCTCCTGCGCCATCACGGCTGCGCACATCACGGCGCTCTCCATGGTTTCCGGTCTCCAGCTGAGCGAGCTGACGATCGCCGTGTCAGAGCCGGACCTCGTCTTCGACGCCGCCGAGCTGCTCTGCTTCATCAACCGGACGCCCGGCAGGCGCGGGAAGCGCTTGCGGAAAAGTATCGCGGCGACTCTGGCCGGTCATCCATCTCATGCCACAGTGGGTGCTACGACGCCTTTCGTTCGCTACATCCGAGGCCCGACGAACTTTGTCAGAGCTCAGCCATATATTATTTCGAAGCGGTTCGCTCCAGGACGCGTGGAGGAGCGCTGATGGCCACACCAGGCCCGTTCGTGGAAGGGCGCCCGCGCCGTTTCACCGAAACATTTTGCACATGGTGTCTCTCGACTGTGTGAACTCGCCAGGCTGGCGACATCGCAGGGGTGACTTGCGAAATGATGGTCCATGTATTGAGTAGTTGGCATGTACCGGGTTATTGCGGACTCTCCAGCTCATTGCTGATGTTATCTCCGACACGTGCAAGCAGGTAAACAAAGACAACGAACAGCACGTTGAACACGAGAAATGTATTTTACCCTTGCGCAAGTGAGCATCATGCTAAGCGACGTGGATGACAAGATCTGGCTTTTTTCTACCGCCACGTCAATCAAGTGCTCCACAAACATCCGTCACAAGCTGTAGCAAACGCCAGCGCAACGGAGGGCGGCGTGCCATCGCAGGCCGAGAGGCATAAAACCACAATAATACAGACTAAAGGAAAAAGAACGACCACACAGCATTAGTGCGCGATTCCGCGACGCATGAAAGTGCACGACATCGAGGGGACACTGGCTGCCAGCAAGGAAATAGGAGATAAAGAAAAGAGGACCTGTGTTGGGGTGAAAGTACGCGAACCTATGCAAAAAGAAAATTCTCCGAATCGGGGAATCGAACCCCGGGCTTGACGGGTCAAAGGATCACGGGATGTGATCGAGTGAGAGCGTCAAATGTTAGCCACTACACCAATTCGGATATGCTGATTGGTTGAGAGAGGACTCGCTTATTGGCAACTATATTGACTGACGAGCTCATGCTAGACTACCTGATCGCAATCTTGGCAATCTCCAATGCCGGTCGCCGACGAGCTGGCTTTAGCGTACATTCATTTATGGTGGTAAGTTCCAGATGGGACAATTTTCTAGTGCAGAAATGATTAAAAACTGTATGAAAAGCCCAAATGACAAACACCTCTTTGCGGCATCGCAAAATCACAACATCAGACTCATGTATTCGCACCAATGAGGCTTTCTGGGGGCCATCATTACAGGATGTAGGCTTGGTCACAATAGGAAGGAGTTGGGAGTGTGCGGCTCAGACTGAAGATGTGAATGTATATTGTTTTTCTTCTGTTCAAGGACGGCGTGAATATCATGTAATGGTGGAACTAGCTGCCAAAATCCTTACGAGCCCGGGCACTTCGGGATGCCCGCCTCATCAATCGCAGCCTGGCAGTCGTTGCCGTCCGCACACCCGCGCGCGCAGGCGCGGAAGTCTATGCGGGCGTTGTGCTGCCCGTCGCCCTCGAGCACCGTGTTGACCGTCTCCCAGTCCTTGCGGCCGATCTCACGCTCCGAGCCGCTGCACGTGCCGCTGTTGCCGCTGAACATCTTCTTGTACGTGACTTCTTTCCCCGTGATCTTGATGCTGCGCACGACGACCTGCAGGCCGCACTTGATGCCGCCCTTGGGGCAGTTGGCGGTCGTGGTGATGCCGGTGGCGTCGGATTCGGCGAATCTGTGTGGGGAGAAAGGGGAATTGGGTGTTAGTGTTGAATCTGGGGAGAGTAAAGGGGATCTAAGGACTTACGAGACATCCCAGCTCAGACCTGATACTGCGGACCAGATCTTCTTGAAGTCCATGCTGCCGCCTGCGCTGCCTCCGATAGACCAGGACATGCTCTTAGTGTCTTTTACGATGAACAATATAGTCAGCAATAAATCAATGATTACAGACAACCGTTCTTTATCGATTTCTCTAGTGCAAAGTCAAGTGGCGAGGGCTGGTACTGACGAGTAGCCGAGTTGGCGATGGAGCACGTGTTGACCTTGTCTGAGATGCACCCGTGGCCCGAGACCATCTCGGGCGACTCGTCGTACTCGTCGCCGTGGTTGATGTCGATGTACTCCTTGCGGATGCATCCCTCGTCGTTCTGCGGGGCCGGTGCTGGTGCCGCTAGGACCGAGGCAGAGAGAACGGAGAGGACGGCTAGAATCTGAGCTGGGAGCATGATGGCGGGCGTTTGATGGTGCAAAGGGAGGCGTGTACGACAGAGTTCTGGGAATTGACTACGGGAAGAATGCGCTTGCTGGCGTGGCTGTGAAGTTGTCGATGGTAAGATTGGAGTGTGTAAGTGTGACAGAGGCTGATAATGATTTCATTTCCTTTCTTTCGATGCAGAGGATTGAGCTGGGTTTATGTACGCAAAGTCATGTCCCTCGGAAAGTATCTCGCGGACGTTCTTGTTCGCATGCTCGACGTATCGTCCAGCAATTTGATCTCCAGAGTCCTTGTTCTAAGAATAAAGGATGGCGTGACAGCGTTCCCCAGGTCTGTGTTCAACACTTTAGGCAAGTGATGGACACAAAGGCTGCACCCCTGGAATCTTCCTGACTTTACTCATTTGCGCAGCCACAGCTGATCACTTGCATCAGCCTAAACAACAAGGTCAGCAAGAGATCGTCTGCGAATGTACCACGATCAGTAGACCCTCTACCTGGACAGTCTTTTTACAAGGTCTTGTTCCACAGCTGCACAGTAACTCATGTTTTTTCCCTACTTGCCCTGGTGTTCATTGTCCAGATTGGCCCAACCACATCCATGATGATATAGTCTCGGACAGGGTGATACCCCCAGTGTCTGTCAAGAATGAAAGTTCCTAGCTCGAGTAAGACACGGCAAATTTCCGCAAACTTGAGGACTCCTTAAAATTGATTTCTCATCGGATGTCAAACGTCGGAGGATTCTTCGAGTGGCGTGCCGCGGGCTTGGCGGCTTACACGCCAAGGCGACCAGGGGCATGACGAGCTTGATGCAGCGCAGCCTCATTCGCACATGGCCTTGGGCACATACGTCATATAACCAAGAGACCTCAAAGCCCCCTATGACCCTGCGGCTCGGTCACAGACAGGGCATATGAAGCAGTCGCATTGCTATTAATAATTGGCAGACTATCCCTGTCTGGAGCACGTATGCCGAGCCGGCCTGACTTTTGGAATATTTTGTTCGCTGCTTGTACGACGTGGTATGGTGGACTTGAGTAGGATTCCCTGTTTCAGATGGCCTCATTCCTACTGATGTCATAATTATCTTCTGATCTTCCCCGTGCGCGTGCCCTGACAGTTGCCTGTGGGAGTTTCGAGCTCGAGTCTGGATCTCGGTAGCGCTATGGGTAAAGATCGCTGATGACCTCCCGACGAACACTTTTCCCTGCGTGCGAAGTATGTTTCTGCTAATTCCAAAGGCCTATAACGCAGCGTGTTCGGATGGCAGCCTGAGGGTCAGCAGTCCTCGTTGATATTGATATAACAGACTGCAAATTGCGATCGTTGGGCATGACCAAGCACTAACGTTTCAGCTCTACCCAGTCTGGGTAATGTCGCCTTCGCGCTAGAATAGCTCTGACATTTCTGTTTTGTACAGATCTCGGAGGGCATCAAGCACGGGTCGAGGGCTGCTGCTGTCTGATCTAGTTGTACAGCGACTTGAGCAATTTCTTGAAAGGGACCTTTTTCTTACCACCGTAGCACAGTTTTGTTGAAGTGAGCAGTGGATCTGGAACAGTTCTGGTGTTTTTGTGCTGTCATTAATTGTTGTCCTTTGGAGCCCAGTATACACAATGTTGATAATGCAAAGCTCCTCAGTGGTTTATCGATTGATGGAACCCGTCGCTCCGTCGTGAAAGCCCAAGAAATCAGAGAACCAATTGCCATGAGTAGACACCTGCTGGTATTTGCGATAGTGGCAATCCATCTATGTGGCTGTCAGTCGTGCAGATGGCCGTTGATACCCGATGTCTTGATCGATAGTGTTCTCTCGAGGAGAAGCACCCAGCCCAGCGTGCACAGCGTGCCACGGAATTACCCCCGTGCATAGTGGCTGACTAAGATCTAGTGCACGTGCATCACCTTCTCCAAGTGCTTCCTTACCCCTGGTCCTTCTACCACTGGGTCTTATCGGCAGTCACTTGACTGGTCTTAGCCTCTTTGGGCTGGCGGAAAGGAGGCCGGATCGCCGGGAATGGATCCAATAAGTGGAGTCTCGCTTTTGAAATGAGTGTTGGACATGGAGGGACACGATCCCCAAGACATCCCTGACAAGACATCAATTATCGCGGCACATGAGAGGAGTTGAACACGGTTGAGCACGATAGAGGTTACATGCGGAAGTCTGAGCTTGTAACAAAAGGCAAAGGAATGGTATATTTTGCTCTAGTATGAAAAACCCGAAACTTGCGACCCAAAACACGCTTTTATCCATTCAACGACAAAACAATAGGAATGGCCTCTTATCTACAACCAATCTAAACAGCATCACCCAGCCCGACAAAGAAAAAGGGCAAGACACCGACAAAGTTGACAACACCACTGATCCAGAACTTGTTGCCGAGAGTGTTGGAGCCAGCCTTTATGGCCGTGGGGAGGACCCGCACGCCAGGCTGGAACCGGAAGATGAGCGTGTAGATGAGGCCGCCGATGTTGCCGCCGGCGCCGACGAGGCCGGCCACAGCGCCGATGTTCTTGGGCCGCAAGTGGCCGTACACGGCGTAGCAGGCGCCGTTGGCGGCGAAGCCGGTGACGGCGACGAGGACGATGAAGCCGATGACGCCGCCGAGCGTGGCGTTGCCGTAGTTGATGTACATGCCGAGCCCGATCATGGCGACACCCTGGGACAGCGCGGTGCCGAGCAGCCACCACACCTTAGCCTTGAGGCCGAAGCGCGAGTACAGCATGTCGGCGATGATGCCGCCGACGGGGCGGGCGAAGATGTTGAGCAGGCCGTAGGTGGAGGCGGCGTAGGCGGCGTCGACGTGGTTGAAGGTGCTGCTGGCGAAGAGGGTGTTGATCAGGCCGGGGAGGCCGGCGTCGAGGGCGGTCTCGAGGCCGAAGGTGAGAAGGTAGCACATGAAGCACATCCACACACGCAGATCGCCGAGGATGGGGAGAAGGGTCTTGACGCTCAGGGGTTCCGACTGGGCCACATCGACGGTTGCATACGTAGTCGATGCAGTCGGGGTTGTCTTGCCGTGGTCCTGGAAGCGAGGCGCGGGAGCGGGCCCCTTCTCCTTGTCCGAGTCGATTCTCTCCTTGGCGGCGATCTCATCGGCGTCGAGGTGGACAGACTGGCCCTGGAGGACGGCAATGTCGGAGCCGGCGAGTTGATGGCGGTTGGCCCACTTGCCCATCGGATGGTCGCGGCCCACCAAGAGGACCAGGCCTGCCACGAGAAGAAGGCATGGGACCGGGACAGCGGGGAAGCATACGCGCCATGCCATGTGGGGGCTCAGCCCGCTGTGGACGAAGCGCTCATACAGGCCAATCATGACGGCAACGGTAACACCACCACCAAGATCTATCATTATATGTGTGAGCTTATAGATGAACCAAGTAAGAGAGAATGAGCAACTTACTGCCCCAGCCGCCAGCAAAGGCATTGGCTGTTCCGACAATGGACTTGTCGAAGAATGTTGTGGTCCAAGCCTGAGTAGGGACGAAGGTGCCACCGAGGATAGAGATGAAGAAGCGAACGGCCTCGAGCTGGCCGATGTTGGTGACGAGGGCGGCAAGGCCGGACGGGATGGCACCGAGGATCAGAAGACCGGCCATGACCTTGCGCGGTCCATAGCGGTCACAAGCGGGGCCGGCAATGAGACGAACGATGGCAGTGCCTCCGAGGGAGGCCAGGTTGGAGTTGATTACCTCAGCCTGCGAGAGACCAAGGTCGTCCCGGACAGCCTCGGGGACCAGGGGCGAGAA